GGGAAGGGAGGGCGGGGCTGCACAGTTATAAACGGTTCCCGTGGCCTCCAACTAGCGCAGCCATGGCCGAGGGCCAGAAACGAGGGGGCTTCAAGAAGTTCAGTAAGTGTCTGTGGGACGGGGCGGGTGGGTGAGGGGGTGCTCACCTGGACAGCCTGGCTGGGAGGGGGGATGCATGAGAGGGAGCGTGAATGTGAACATGAGTGTGTGAGTGTGAGCGTGTGCTCACACGCTCCCTGGGTCACTACTGCTTAGGGAAACTTGGAGCCGAGATGGGCTCTGGTCTCGTTAGGGGTGAGGGGCTTTGGGGGTTTCCATCCCCACAGCTCGGGGTGAGCCCGGGTGCTGTTGGCTCAGGAGCTGGGAGCTGGGACTGGGACCAGTCTGCTGCCTGCAGCCCAGCCCTGCACTGGATGCTAGGATGCACCCAGGAGGATGCACGGGGGGGCTTGGGAGTCTTCACTCCCCAAATCACATGCTTCAGGGTGCACAGCTGGGGGTACAAGCCGGTGCCGGGGCGGGGGGTGGCCAGGCCCCCCACCCCAGGGTGCTCCCACAGCACAGGGACAGGGGTGACATGGAGGAACCGGGATGAAAGCCTGGGAGTGGATTCCCACCGGCTGCTCTCGGAGGAAGCGCTCAATACCCACCAGGACCGAGCTCTGCTCTTTCTCACAGACCTCGGGTTTCCCCAGAGCCCCAGGAGGCGGCTGCAGCGGCCTTCACCCCGCTTCCCCGCGCCGGAGCTGGCCGTTGGTCTCTGCATTTCCGCCGACATGGTGGCGCCAAAAAAAGATGCTGGCGCCGAAGGGGGGGCCCGTCCCTCCACTCCCCCGGGGCCCTTCCACTGGCAAAGCCCACGGCCCTGTCCCAGCTGGGATTTTCCTTTGCGGCAGGGAGCAGAGAGATGGGGAAAGTCCTCAGCGTTGCCTTTCCCACCCCGTAGCAGCCCCGGGAGCAGCCAGCAACAGAGGATGCTTGGACTCCAACGGGATGTTTTACCCAAAGCAGTTTTGCCTTTAACTGCATCCAGGCCACAAGGTTTCTGCCATGCAGAAGGCTTTTTGGGCAGCTGCAGCCCCTTGCAGAGCCCTTTGCCCCATCCGGCTGCGCGGATGTCCTGTAGAACCCACGGATGGTGGCAGGAGCTGGGGGTCCAACGGCCGAGCAGCCCCTGGCTACCCAGTTCCTCCACAGCACCACCGCAGCGTGCCACTTCCTGCCTTCGCAAACTCGCTGTGCCCAGAGGGGAAGAGGCTTTGCAGAGCCCTGCAGTAGCATAAACATTGCAAAACCCTTGGAGGCACCTAGAGCACCAGAGCTCCGGCAGGGAAACGCTGCCCTGCAGAGCTGCGGCCACAGCCTGCTTCACCCCACGTGCCACTGTCCTCATGCCGGCACCAGCACCGGCCTGGGGTTGCACTGCAGCAGTGTGCAGAGCTGAGCTGGGACCGAGGTGTGAAATGCAAAGCCGCCTGCTGGGGTTATAAATACTTCTCTGGTGAACGCTTTGCACTCAGTGTTTGCAGGTGGCAGCTGGGAGCTGCAGGGATGCTACGAGGGGCTGAGCGCTTGGCTGAGGAAGTGGGGAAGTCATGTCCTGCCCGCAGCCGGTGCTGCCACGCGAGTGCCACCGAGCCCTACACCAATGTTCAGTTCCTGCTCCGCCGTGCTGGTGATGGATGTGCACGCATGGGCACATGGCCAGGCCCCCCCATCCCCTGGAGAGATGCTGTGTGTCCCATGCTTTCATCCTGGAGAGGGCAGGGGGTACGGCCCATGGGGCTGCCCCAAGGCTATGGGGATGGGCACAGCCACCAGCCCTGCCTGGAGTCCCTTGGGAGAAGCAGGGAGGCGGATGGTGGGAGGAAGAGATTTGAAATAATTTCTGTCATTGCCTGCTCACCAGAGCTGGGTGTTTCATCTTCCGCCCCTACAAACTGCAGTGGGGAAACGCAGCTGCTAGATTTGCCAGGGCACAGGGGATGTTTGCTCCCTGAGGGACCAGGACAGACCTCCTGGGGTCCTGGCAGAGACACCCTGAGCAGCATCACATACCCCAGGTCACAGGGATGTCATGCCAGGCTGGGACTGGAGATGCGGGATGCAACGGGGCTAACACCAGACTGCACCGTGGCACAGTGCCCTGTGCCCACCCCAACACAGGACCAGGGGCCCCGGGACCCCCACCATCACACCGTGCTGGCAGTAACCCCACACTCATCTCTCCTCTCTCCTTACCAGAGTTTTTCAAGTTCAAAGGCTTTGGGAGTCTGAGCAGCATCCCCCGCTCCTTCACCCTCCGGCGTGCATCCATGGTCCACAGCTCTCCCGAGAGCCTGGGGCCGGGTCTCCATCCTCCCCATGGCTTCCTGGAGGATCCCTTCGACAGCACCCAGGATGATCTCAACACTATGCCCAAGAGCCCCAGCCCCTACGCGCGGTCGTCGGACATGTACAGCCACATGGGCACCATGCCCAGGCTGAACCTGGGCAAGGCAGGGAAGAGCCTGGGCAAAGCCAAGAGTAGCCAGGAGAAAGGGACCCCCAGCAACAAAACCCTCCGGACAGCCCCATTCCCCAACCCCAAGTCTCCTGAGAACTCCAGCACCCCCGACCCATGCACAGACTCATCCTCAGCTGCTGGGGAAGCAGAGCAGGAGGAGGAAGAGGCTCCCCAGGACACCCTGGGGGCAGCAACAGCCAGGACAGATCAGGAGCCGATGGGGACCGTCTCCTCTCCTTCGACGGAGGCACCAAGCTCCAGCCCAGCCCCGAGCTCCAGCCAAACCCCAAGCCCCGATGTAGCAGTGGGAGCGGAGACCACCAACGGGGATCTGCTAGAAAAGGGGCAAGAGCATCCCAGCAAGAGCTCCCCAGACAGGTACGGCCACATTGGGTTTGCTCAGCCCTCCGCCGGCACCTCCCTTCTGCCCCTCCAGGGCAAGGGGAGGGGGCTGGGACACAGCAGGGTCCCTGCGGTGCTCCCCTCTCACCCGTGGTGCTGGCGGGATGCACCTGGCCGGCAGGATGGTACAGCCAGAGCACTCCGCACTGCGGCCAGGTCAGTGGCTCCATGGGAGCGAGGTTTCCTGTGGGATATCTGCTCCCTCCCGTTTCCGGACAGGGTGGAAACATCTCGCAGCCCTGCTCAGCCCCGGCGTCCCTTTGTCTTGCTGGCAGCTCTGTTCCAGTGCCAGGACGTGCTGCAGAGACCTGAGACCTGCACCGTCCCGGCCCCCTCCGCTTCTCACTCTCCTCTTTTCCACCCCCTCCATCCTTCTCCCCCTCTTTAAGCAGCTCTGCCTTGCTCAAGGCA